CATAGATATCCAAGGAAAAGGCTCACTAAAACACGTAGATACAGTAGTATGGTTGTTCAGCAGATGTAAGAACATTATTACATCTGAATTGATGTTTTTTAACTTTCTTTGATACAATTACAGTAGGCAGTAAAATTGGAAGAGATGAAATATTGACTTAATGTGGTCCTTCATTTGTTATCCTGTTTGACTTTCACTATCACTCTTTTGGCACATCTAGCAGCAATCACAAACTACAATATAAAAATCTGGGTTTATAGATCACACCATCAGTTTCTGTCAGTAGGAATGTGATCTAGAAAATACTGGTATAGAATATAAAGAAAAGCCAGAATAAATACTGGCAAGTAAATTCAAGGTGGTCATAAATTGTTTAGCAGTACAAAAAAGAACATAAATTTAAGGAAAAGAAAATAAAGTATACAGAAATAAACCATAATGGTGAGAATCAATAAGATTATTTCTTAAATGAGGGATTGGGACCAATAAGGGAAATGTCAGCATAAAGTTGCCATTCATTTGACTGGGGACAAAGGTACATGAAAACATTGCCTGTGTTTATTAAATGTGACTAAATAGTTCAGCAAACTCCCAATTTATGATGCAGAATGAACTAGAAGCAATTTTTACTCTGCAAATCGGAAGTCTTGCATAGCATTGAATGTCAGCATGATTTGTTACACAGTGTAGAAAATAAAGGTGAATAGACAAAATGTTACAAACCAGGGTTTCTCAAAGGAAGTGAAACTTTGTTATTCACCTATAAATAAACAAGTTTTATACACTGCAAAAAACATTTAAAAAGTAAGATTCAACAGTGATTCTGAAAAGTTTAGTAAAATTGATATTAAAAAACCCTCTTTCTGATTAGGAATTTGATGTATGAATTTAATGTGAATAATTTCTATTAATTAACAAGCTAAGAGTTATTAATTATCTTAAAAGACGTTGAATATAGCAGTAAACGTTCAGGATTTTTTTTTCGTTTTCTTTTGTAAATATGAAAGAACAAATTCTGTGCCTTGTACTCCACTGTGTGCCCTGTCCTAGAGCATTGCCCCTCTCTGCTGTAGTGCCTGTACAGTCCTGGGCTTGTGAGCCCAACTGTTGGGATTTGGTGGTTGTGTTTGTCTGGCAGAGATGGCATTTTTCTGAACCTGTATCACATTTAAAAGAGAACCAAAATCTAACAAGCAATGCCTGTTCACAGGGTGGTGCCTGGGACTTTCTTCACACTAAATCTTTGAGGCCAAAATTGTTTTGGATGTTACACAAAAGTCTTCTTATTATAGCTTGGCTCACTGCATGGAAGTATCTTAATTTTCATTTGTCTCATGTTCTGCTACCTATACCCATACAGATGTCTTGGTTAATAGCTAAGAAATGTAGTACAGGATGTGAGAAATGCAGCACAGGATGAAATTGACTTCTAAGATGTTTTGTTTGATGTTACCATGTCATAAAGTCCAATTTACCCATGAGACTTTATGCATACTTATTTAATTTTAGTGAACATAAGGAAGAACAAATTCTTCTACGATGAAAACAGAAAATGATTGAAATAGTGGCGTATGTTATCAGTTCAGCTACAAGGGAGTGTTGTGTTCTCTCTAGGCTGGAATAAATTCAATACTGAGCAGAGAAAAGTGATTTAATGAATTCATTATAGCCAAATATTGAACAGGACACAGTATTCTGTACTGTGCAAACCTCCCAAATATGTTTCTTAAAAAAAGCAAACAACCCCCAAATCCTAAAACAACATTCAGCATTGGAAAATGAAGTACTCAGAAATGTTGGTGGATTTTCATAAAATTGGCTCCAGAATGCACTCTCTAAAGGTGTAAACACTCAGTGTTTACATGTCCAGTTAGTCCAGTCTCTAGACATAACAAATATCAAAATGTCTTATTCATCCGCAGCTCAGCTTGAAGTCTCTTCAGCGTCTGTGAAGCACTTCATGAAGAGACCCACACAAGAGTGGGCACCTGGGCTAAGAGCAGTCCCATCCATGAAGCTGCTCATGCACACTTGCTCCTCTTGGCTTTGAACACTGTGTCATTCTGTGTGAGAGAGGACATGAACCAAAGCCTTGCCTTCAGGTGGTGTTTCAGTCAGCCACTTGTGGCACATCCTTCTGATAGCAAATGATTAAACCACGTTTAAATCCCACTGGCACTGATTTGAACATGGTTATCTTCATTATGTGAGTGTGCCCTGTCTACTTGGCTTTGGGTCTGTTCTGTCTAAAAAATATGGGTTGGAGTAAGCTTTTCCCATGTGCTATGGGGCTAAAACGATTTCTTGGGTTTTTTTTCTTCAAGAGATGGAGCCAAAAATGAGACAGGAGCTTGGCAGCTTCCATAGACAGTGAAAGGAGAGGAGAGCAGTAAGCCCTGCCTCACTAAAAGTCTTCTATAAGTGAGAGAACAAGTCCAGCAGTGAGGTTTTGAGGGACTATTCCCAGTGTATGTGGATAAAGGCCTGCTCTTTTGGAGTGTGCTGCACATGCCAGCTTTGCTGCTGCAGGGTCAGAGTTCACAGATGAAAAGGATGGATTGGAGGAGAGGTGTGTGTGCCCATGAGCACTTCACCATGGATGGAACAGGGAAAGCTCAAGCCAGTGATCAGCTTGTGACTGCCTGCCTCTCCAGGCTGACATTTATGGTAGGCAAAGCCTTGCAAGATAGGCACTTCTAACAGAAGCATTCAACTGAGAAGAAAACATTTTTAAAATTTAGGGTTAATTTGAGTGCTTTCTATGGAATTACTTATTTTCCAGTAATGTATTGAGCAAAGGCTTTTGACACTGAAACAAAATAACCCTTTCCTGTCCCACTTTCAGCTGCACTGTGTTCCAGCTACCTCAAAACCTGTTTGTCTTCTCCTGTCAGAACTGGTTTTCCTCGTATTGGTGGGGTACAGACGTGTGCAGCCAACTCAAGTACTTTTTTTTAAAATGCAAATTCCGGAAGAGGCACAAGCTTATCCCTGTGCAATACAAAGTGGTAAAGTGGCAGAATATACTGAAAGTCATTGTGTTTCAGTGAAATCAAAAGTTTTAGCTACTGAAGAAGTTCAGTGTTTGATGCACCTTAATCACTCAAGTGTAGAGTAGAAAGTGTGCTCTTAGAGTATCCAATGAGGGCATTTTTTCCATGTTCTGATATTTAATTTGGCATGCAAATGTTCATATGCCTGAGGCTGAGCTCCAGCATCATTGACCTGCTGATACACCCGTGTTCATTCATTATGATTTATAACTTTGAACATGTTTAGTCTTTGAATATGTTAGTCTTCCATATGCTAATTCTAAAAAAGACCAAAAACATGGGCGCTGAGGCTGAATTAAAATTTTCTCTTTGCTGTGCACTTCCCCCCATTTGCATTTTCATCTTTCTAGCTATCAGGAATTCTACTAATGGAGGGATTTTTTTTTGTGTTTTTACTTACTCTAAGGTAGAGTTTACATTTACAGTTTTAATGCAAACTGTTTTGATTAGAATCATGTTGTGATTCTAACATTTACATTTCTGGTCGCTCATGGAGCTGTGATAGAAATGATATGGTTTTAATCCACATTGTGAGGAGGGCAAAAAAACCTTCTCTGAACTGCACATCCTATGTCTTCTGCTCTGTGATCCAGTGATATTTTTCCATATTTTTTTTCCTCTCTAATACCATATTGTAATTCAGTAGTGTTAGAATTTCTTACTGACTGATAGGTAAATATAGTTAATGACGATTTAGGAGAACATCAAGTCTATGAACTTCCCTCTAGCAGTTTGGGGTCCCTGTTAAGCCTATTACTCAGCAGGCCTTTATATTACAGCCCATCAAATCACCTACTTATTGCTTAATGAAAATTAATATAAATAACGTTTTTTGAAATTCTGACTGTGGTCTGGTAACAGACAATCTATGACAGGTCTCTAGAATAAGGCAACTCTGTGAAGCAACTACTAATTCAAGGATACTCGACTTCTTGTCTGCCTGAAAACTCAACAATACCATGTGTAACTTGGTTTATTTTGTTTGGCATTATGTTTAATAATTTCCAGTAAATTATGAGTTGCTTTAGAACTACAAGTAAGTGCTTTGAACAGCAGTTTATGATAGGGAGCCCAGGAGTCGTCTATAAAAGTGTAATAATTTCCAGTGCTTTGGAGCTGTAAAAAACTTCTTGGGTGGTTAAAGTCACTCAACCTTTGGCATCATTTCTCCAAATGCCTCGGTGGGATGTTAGAATCCTTTACTAGCCACAGGTACAGCAATTTAAAATGTACTAAGGCACCCTGGCAAGCTGGGGTATAGAAAAATGGGGAGTTTTTAAATTGCACTGTATGTCAGGTTTACTTCTTTGGACCATACAATCAGAACCTTGTCTTATGTACTGAAAAAAATTATTTTAGTGGGTTGGTTTGGGGTTGTAAAGTGCTGATTCATGCAAGTATATTCTATTTTTTCCCTGGCCTTTTGTATTTTGATATGGCTTTTAGAAATGGTCTAAGACTAGACTATTAGTTTAGAGCAACAGACATAGTTTAGAGTAGCATGATTAGAGAAGAGTGGCCTGTGGCATATAAAAATCTATGCAGAATAGGAGAAAAATATAAAGCAAAACAGAAAAATCTATCTTTCTGTGTTAATGGCACAGTGAAGTTTTAAAAATAAAAATAAATATGTAAGGAACTTTGCCTTTTAAATTTTCTTGGAGGTTTAATTTAATAAATACATAAGAGGCCTGTAAAACAGTGTGTAGTTATTGATGTTTTATGTACGCTCACAAGATCAAATTATTTCAGTTCTGTGGTGAATGTATTTGTAGGAGGGGATGTAAAAAGAGCCTCTTGAGCTCTTCTGAGCTTCTGTGCTCTTCCTGAGTACCGTGAATTTTATAGTGTTGCTGCTGGCAAATTAAGATTTGTAATATAGAAGAGAAAATGGAGGGTGGAGTTTTACTACCTCAAAAAACTAGTTTAGGAGCTTCTGCTGCTTCCTTCAGAAGGGAAGATTTCCCTGGGGCAGACACAGCTTCTCAGTGCCCAGATGTTAAACCTGGCTTAAAGCCTCAAAACTGGATCTACAACAGTAAGATAGGTTAGGACAGTGCCGAATTTCCATGTTACAGGTGGGCACAGGGGAAGAAATTTTCAAATAGTCTTATTTGTCCAATAGTCCTTTTGAATGCAAATGGACACATGTTCCTTGCAATTGTGTAGGGATCTAGCATTTACAGTGATGCAATTTAAAAGCTACAAAAGTCATTAAAGACAGTTAAAAATACCTGAATAGCAGATGTAAATCTGCAAATCCATCTTTTATTAATTTACATACAGAAGTTTCTGAAGTTTCTGGGGAAACTGATCTGTTTAGCTGTAGCTGGAATTGTTCCTCAGATATATTTGCTTGGAAATATTTTGTTCCCTGTAATCACTGAAGAAGTTCCTTTTGTCCATCTTCCAGCAAGTGGCATGCTCATCACCCAGCTGTGTTTTGCTGAAGCACTAAGCATGCACAAGTGACAACAGTAACTTAGATAGTACCAATGTCTTCGTGAATAGCTGTTTGAGGTGGGCACAGAAGTGTTTCACTTTTTCACTGTATCTAGTGAAAACGTGCCATTTCTCTTGTACATTTTAAAGAAACTGCTGTCCTACAGTTGGAGTAATGCAGATTAGGAAGGAATATAGACAAAATGTGACTTTCTACTCAAAGCAACATTGGAAAAATACCTAACTCTTTAACAGGAGGTGGTAGTCAACACAAGCTGCACAGATTTCGGTAATTATCTGGATAACATATCCCCTCAATCCCCATGTGTCTCTGGTATTATCAGTTTGGCTCTGAGGTAAATGTAGACCCTGGTGATGAAATCTATGGAATTAAGATTTCATTCTGAATACCTTTTTTTAGTATTCCACTTCTTTTGCATGTCAGTGCATGGAGGGGATAGTTTGCCCCAAGAGCCACCTGTTTTTTTCTTTAACTGATTACACATGTGTACAGTTGGAAAGCTCTAGTTCTTTAAAGCAAAGACTGTGGTGCTTTGCTTGTTTGTACCTTCTTTTGTTCAGCCAACAAGGTTAATTCTGCTGAAAAGTGCCAAGAAAGAATATGCCAAGACTGTATTCTAATATTACAATATTAGGAATAATGTTGATAGATGTATAAAAAAAAGTATGTCACTGTGTCTTCTAGAAAGGAAAAGTTTCATGGTTTTGCTCTAATTTTGTTGATATCATTAATGTTATGTCAGAGTCCTATATGGCTTTCTACTTGCATGGGTATCCAGTGCTTATTGTATATTGGGAGACCTAAATGAAGCTGTATAGCAGCCAACTGTAGGAGCAAACTTGTGACTTGGTCACACTTATTTTAAACTCTATTAGTCAAAATGAAGTGCATTTTTTGAGAGAACTCAATGTTCCTCAACACAATGATTCTGTTCAAAATGGCACCCATGCCACATGAAATGGTAAAAGCAGCAGTAAAGAAGGAATCTTCGTTATCCAGTGTGTCTTGCCTTGCTGGAAGTTTTAAAAGGCAATGCAATACATTTACGGGCATCACACAAAAATCTGAAAAATATGCCACTATTATGGTGGGTCTGTCATGGAGAATCAGAAAAGGAAATTCTATTATTTTAGCCTTTGTTTTTAAAAGCCATTTGTGAGATTCTGCAGTCTTGTTTTTCAGTCCTTCTCATGTAAGTTTTCTTTTTAAAGGTGTCTCGTCTTTTCCTTTATAAGATGCCTGTATTTAGACTAAGAAGTCTGTATTTGGTTACCTAAATATATGGCTTGACCTAAAAAAATCTTAAATCCACATCTGTCTTGAAGTTTACTGAAACATTACTGCTTGCTTCTTTTTCTTAGAACTTCTCATTCAAGAAAAAATTTTTGAAAAAAGGTTAATCTAATCTACTCTAAAGTAATCTAATCTCTTACTTCTTCCTTTTAAATTTGATAGTCCATAGATTATCTGCGGAAGAAATGAGAGAAAAATGTCATAATCATAGTGATATTTTTCAAAAGAAGGTACTGAAAGAAAAAAGAAAAGACCTGTATCTAAGTTTTCTGTTCAAAGGTAATTGAACAACTGAGATCAACAAGTTATTAGTTAACTTTGGCATAGCTAGCATTTCAAAACTTCTTTATAAAGAAGCTTTTCTACCTTTTGAGAGAGAGCTGATTTTTACATAGCAGTTTTGCACTCATAATTGTGTGACTGAAAAGTTTTTCTGTCCATATCTGCCCATTTATTTACTGGTTTCAGAACTTCTTTAAGTTTAGAGTGCTTTAGAAATAAGAAAATATAAAATTGTGTGGTTTAAAATGTTCTCTTAAAATGGACTGTAGAATTGGGAGTATTTTATTTCCTGAGACAGCACCACTTTCGTGTTTAACAGTGATGTGTTTCAGGGTTTGCAAATTTAAATGATGAAATTTGTCTCCCCATGGACAGAGATTGACACTTGGCTTGCACACGTATTATGCCAATAGATACAGAAATCTGTTATGGTAATATAATGGGAATTTATTTTGGAATAAGGATAAAATTAGTATTTGGAATAAAAATTATTTTTTCTATCCTTTCCTCTGATTTATTTCCTTACCTGCGGGCTGAATTTGCCCTGAGCAAGCATTATTTGTAGGTGGGATGGCTTGCAAAAAAAGATGGCTGAGAATTATTGCGAACTATATTTCAGAAATTTTTCCATACCGAATTCAAAGTTTTCATGTCAGAGATGTCAACCTTTTAATCAGTTAACTTTTAGAAAGTTATGTGACTTCTGTGATGATTTGAGTATGTAATTTGAGCCTCCTGTGGTTAAAAAACATGGCTTTCCCAGAAATTGGTTCAGTTAAAAGATGCATATATAATAATCTCTACCATGCATATAACATTTGTTGGACAGAGGAATATCCACTGTGGTAAAATAATTGGGTTATTTTCTGTTACACTGATCATATATTTTGTATTTAATGTGTGCAAACAGTCTAATAGAAAGTAAGCAGAAATAATTGAATAATAATTGATGGCATGGTGAGGCTATTACTCATTATTGCTTGTCGTGAACATGACAGCTAAATACACTCTAGATGACATATTAGAATTAGCTGCTATGAATTTCAAAGAAAATCCCACTTACCAGTTTTAAATACAGAATTATTGTGGTACATACTAGGGTTGTACTATGAGAATGGTTTAAACTCTTGCAGCCAAATGGCTTCATGTTGCAGAAGTGAATTTCAGGTCTGAGTTGTGGTAGTGCACAATGCTACTCGAATTAAAGATGAAAGAAAAATCTACTACTGAAACTTACATTCCAGTGTTAGTAACTTAAACTATGACCAGAATAAAATGTATTTCTAAACATACAAATGTGCATAGCCAAATAAAATATCTTCCCTAATCTGACTGCAGGCAGTAGTTCGATAAAATTGCTGAATATCTGAAATAAAACAGTTTTACAGTGTTAAATATAATAGAATTTTGGTTTGTTATTGAAGATCTATAGGCTACACATTTTTATAATCATGTGGGCAGTTTTTCTTTAATCAGCCCTTAAAATATTTATTACAGTAGGTATATTTTACATAATTAAAACCAGGTCCTCCTCAATGACATTTTAAAATATTTTCTGGGTAAAAAAAAAAAATCTGGTTGTTTGCATATGTTCCAGTGCTTTAGTGCTTTACTGTGGGATGTAGTTCTGCATAAGTTAGTCCTGCTCTGAGTCATGAGCTGGGAGTGCTGCTAAAAATATGGTGAAGATCACTTACACCTCTGGAAGTAAATTATACTAACTTGACTTGAAAAGCTCTATGCAATATTTTAAATTCCTTGCACGTGTGAGATCTTGGTCCTATATTTGTGTGCTAACAGGTATCAGAGCAGCTGCAGTCAGCAGCCCAGTGCTCCTTGCCTCGTGAGTTACCTGGTGAGTATGAGAGGTATGAGGACCAATTACCAACCCTTGTATAACATATATCTTAATACAGTCCTGCTTTGCAATAGTTCATGTTAGTAGCACTGAGAGGCATAAAAATAGAGCCAGTGATTGCAGTGTTTCAAAACAAGGCTGAAATAAATAATGAGGTGTATGTAAGGGCCAATATATAGGTTACTTCTATTCTAGACTGACTGTGACAACATTAATATCACAGCCAGGATTGCAGTGAAAGTAACACTTAAAATGTTGATTGAAACCATCAGGAAGAAAGAGCTGTAAAAGTGTGGGATAACATTAGGAAAGGTTGTGTGCTTCATGATTTACTGGATATACAGATCTGACAAGCCATTCAGTTGTGACTGAGTTAAATGTGTACATTTCCTTTGCTTTCCACTTGGTCATAAGCGGAGGGAGTAAAGTCTCTTTAATTCAGCCATAGGGAATGATATGAAGCATGTTCTCCTTGAGAGGAAAAATACAGCTTGAGTGGTATCAAAACACCCCAAAGCTGCCTTCTGTCATAACTAAAGTCCCCTCTGATACTGGCTAGCATGGAGTCTCACTGGATATCACAAATGGGTTAACTTGAATAGAATTAACAGCATCACTGAAGGTGGTATCTTCTCTCTGTCCCCCTTGATATCTGTCCACGGCTCTAAGGAAACCCTGTTTCTCTTAGTGAATTGTCATTTGCACCCACTTCAATTGCTGGAGCCTTAACATTTGCTTGGAAACAGCTGCACTGTGCAACAACTTTATTCCTTGTAACTGCAAAGTCTCTGCAAAGGCGTAGAGACAAATTTGTGACTGTATTCCAGGCAGATTCATTGTTTAGGGGTCCTACATGTTCATCATACCTTTCTCCAGTCAGTTGTAAAATGCTCTAATCTGTGTTTGCTTTTAATTTTGTCATAATTTACTAGCAGTAGCTATATTAAAACATGAAGCAGTTGAGAAAGATGGCTGAGATAAGAGTTTCAAATTACTGTTAAGTTTGGCTTGGCAGCTGAAGTGATTAAAAGTAATCATATTGTAACATGCCTTTGTATCTCCCCTGAAGGAAGTGGCAGTGCTTGTGCTTCTTGATATCTTATGGTACGCAAATCAGAAGGAAAAAGAATGGAAATGGAAAGTTTGTCTGCAGATTTTACTGGCAGTTTTCAAGTTTGAAAATAGTGAAATGGATATTGTTTTGATGCTTCCACAATGGAAGAATAACTTACATTTTTTAAACAGTAAAATTTTTCTCTTTTTTGGATAAGAAGGTTTTGTTCTTAAGTTCCTTACTGGACTAAGTTACCTGAATGATGCTGAACTGCTGGTATACAATATCAATCATGAAAAATCAAATCAAATCCCGTTAAGCTTCTTATATGGGTAATTTTGCTTTTCTCTCCATTTTGACAAAACGTTTTTTTAGACAACAAGAAATAATAGGAAAACCTGATTTTTGTGGAGGTATGTGCCAGCGTGCCACTTTCATACTCTTACTATCATGCTTGCAAAACCCACAGGTTTTTCAGTAGCCATTCTGCTAAAGAGTCGTGTCTATGTTTTGTCCTAAAGATGAATATGAATTGAATTATTGCTCCATTATTTCTTTGGGGCTGAAAAGTATGTGTTTGTGCTACTGTTCTTCTGGGCTTTTTTCCCTGCTTTCTCATTTATAGCTGTAATGTGAGCTACAGCTCTCTAGAAGATCATTACGACCTTAAGCAAGATCTTGGGGATATTTTCACAGCCATGGCTACTCTTCCTTCCATTTTTGTGTGACTTGACAATGGCATGGGAGAGAAATAACAGCTTTTGATTAACAGAGAAATGCATAATCTCATACTCTATGTTTATGGATTTTAAATAATCATACGTTGAAACTCAAGAGTATTACATCAACAGAAGGCAGGATACCTCTGTCATGCAATGCTGGGGACTGTGCCTGCCATAGCAAAGAGTGTTAATTAGTGAAAGCAGAGCAATGAGGGCTTAGAATTTTCATAGTTCTCACAGTAAATCCATATCTGTTTTTTTAGAAAGTTTTCATATCATAAAAGCTTTTTGCAAAAGGTTGTCTAGTGTCTAATAACCCTACAGTCCTGATGTCAGTGCCTACGCAAGCAGGCTTTCTGGTTTACTTTGCACTTCC